CCATCTCTGTTTTTATTTGAGTTAGACTTTTGTTCACTTGATGTAGAACTTTTCTGCTTATACATAGAAAGTAAGAATTTCGTAAGCTCACCATCTATTTCACTTCTAGGAACACCATGATTAACTACTCAATGCCACCAGTCTGTGCAAGTCAGACTTCTGATTACTGTTTTGATGCTGCTGTCTGTTACCGTAACCACACCAACTGGTCTTTAGCAGTTGAGGACCGTCGCTTGGACCCTGCCTCCAAGATCCATTACCCTTATTGCATTTAGGTTTTCAAATTGAAGGATCCCATGTAAGGTCTGGCCTTCAGAGAAGAACAAGTTCCTTTCTCAGAGTATTGATGAAAGCTGTGTTTGCTGGACCCTCCCGGAGTAGGTAAATACATCTTAAATGACAAATCCACTCCAGTATCCCCATGTCCCTAAGTTTCTGAATCCCTTCCTCTACATCAAACCAAGGGGAGCCAAACATTTCCATTTCACTCACTAACAGCCACCTTTGGTCCATGTTTCAGTCAACCAATCAACCAAGCCCTTAGAGCCCTTTCTAACCACCAAGCTGCAACATTAAATGCATATTCTCTACTTAGCAAGCACATCTCAATAACTTTGGCCTAATCCAACCTTATGTTCCTTCTACCATTACTCCCCACCCTAAGTATCCATTCCCACACATTTCCTGAATTTATGCTATAGAAATACCATGAAAATGAATTACTAGAAAATTTATCACACTTGAATTTCATGCAGTGTCAAGTTGCTATAAAGATTATAAATGTTTACTCTCAATTTCTCTATTTCTTAACTCTAACAAATTGTTTATAGGCTGTAATTATTCCACTGGTCACACTTTGATTAGCATTGATACCAATATTATAAACAAATGTAGGTTGAAAAAGTCGTTTCAAGAGCTCTAATAAGTTAGAATTAGCAATCATGTTGCCAAAGCTCTAGCCACAGACATTCTAGATGGGAACATTTCTCCATCAAACACTGCTCTGAAGATAGGTAATTAAAACAAAGAAGAAAGCGTGTAACCAAATTTATCTATACACAACTCCAATATTATTGAGCTGTTGTTTACCTACCTGATAAGTCTAAGATAAACTTACTTATCAATGACCATTTTGATTCTAGATATCAGGCTTTCACTGTCACAGCGGTTCTCAACCTGTGGGTCGCAACCCCTTTGGCAGTCGAACGACCCTTTCACAGGGGTTGCCTAAGACCATCCTGCATATCAGATATTTACATTATGATTCATAACAATAGCAACATTACAGTTATGAAGTAGCAAGGAAAATAATGTTATGGTTAGGTCACAACATGAGGAACTGTATTTAAAGGGCCAGAAGGTTGAAAACCACTGGAGAGCCATGAAGACTATTGTGGATTTATTTTTCTGTTTCTGATTGTTCATATTGAGGGGGGGGGGGGAGCTCTTATCTTGTTTGTCTTAGGTCTAGTCAGAATGGAAAAGAAGATGGGGATAAGATTCTTTGGTTGAACAAACTGGCTACATTACTCATTTACCTTCTTCAAAATGAAATTCAGTCCCAGCAATTGGCAGGTAATGACAGGTGAATATTTGAGTTTTACCAAAAGATAAAGCCCAGAACCCATTAATAACATCAGGCTCTTAACTGTCCTTCAGACAAACCACAAAAGGTGAGGAGAAATATGTCAACAAACCAGAAACCCAGGGTCAGAGAGGCTCCTGGGGGAGGAAAAAAATCTATGAAATCAGTGCACAACAACCTGGAAATTTAGAAGAAGACTCGAGTTCAGTTTAGAGATGGGAACTGTTAAATACCAGAACTTGACCAATTAGGGATGAGCTCCTAATAGCAGAATGAAATAGACAGGACGGAGATAGAACATGGACCTCTGGTCTACATGAGACAGGTGAGAAACGGCAGTGGGAAAGTTATGCCATCCTCAGGTTTAAACAGGAGGAAATCTGTGTTCAGAACACTGGCACTAAGAGGAAATGACAATGTGTTTTCAGGGTATAGAGAGTAATCAGCAAGACAGAAACACAATTTATGGGAGTAATGCAAAGTCCAACAGATGCTGGAATGGGCAATATTCAAAGAGCAGGTGGACATCTGGGAATTCTGCCAGAATTGGGAGAAAAGACTAGCAAGATAAGCAGAGTCTTGGTTTTAGCAGAAACATACTTCCTGAGAAAGTATAAATGAGCTCGGGCTGAGAGAGTAAAAATCTCCCCACCCTTTATTAGAGTGGACTCACAGTCAGCTGCAAACTTAAGAGAAGACATCTCTCCCAAGGACACTGAGGCTGTACAGTGTCATAACAACCCCCTACTTTAAATGATTCCTGATTTATAAATTACTGGAAGTTTTATTCTAGAACCATAGATTATCAGATATTTTGCTTTTTAAAATGTCAGTAAAAATAAAACACCTCACATTTGCTTGGAGAATCTAAGGTACTTTGACACAGAGAACCATTCTCAACTTACAACGTAGGAGCAGAGAGTCAAATAAGGGGTCTCGGGCTACAACAGTCCACATCCATCTTAACTTTGCACTTTCCAAGGACATGGGAACCTGCATTTACTTCATGGTCCAAACCTGACGTTGACCCCTTTGGCCACAGCTCGCTTTGCTTTGAGCCTCTCCAACACTTTTAAATATTATCTAAATTCCACCCTTTCCCCAAACCCTATAGTAGTTCTATCTTTTCCTTTGTTCGCTGAGATGCCGAGGTTGCTCTGATGCGCAATCTCCTTCCTTGGGTTGGATCAATAAGTCTGACTGTGTCAGACAACAGCTTGCTTCTGGTCATCGCAGGCTGACTGGGCTGGGAAAATTCTAATCAGCATACCACAGAGCGATGAGGAAGCCATGTGGAAGCCCAGTGAGAAAGGTCAAAGGGGATTGCCATGTGGGGACAAGGTAAGAGTCCACCTTCCAGAATCAGGCTATTAGAAAAAGACAAGAAGTAAATGGGCTTTGGTGCAAGGCTAAGTGTTAGTCTGTGAGAGCCTGAGTATCTGCCTCCAGTTCAGATTGGTCTGAGGATAGGGAGGTGAAACTAGAGTGGCAAGGAAACAGTCAGTGGTTTCAATTAAGGAAAGTACTAGGGAGGCAAGAGCTGGAGCCCAGCTGGTTGTCTACAATATAGGACAGTGGTTCTCAACCTTCCTAATGCCGCAACCCTTTAATAACAGTTCCTCATGTTGTGGTGACCCCCAATTTCATTGTTACAAATTGAACATAATTAAAGCATAATAATTAATCACAAAAACAATATGTAATTATATATGTGTTTTCCAATGGTCTTAGGCGACCCCTGTGAAAGGGTTGTTTGACCCCCAAAGGGGTCGCGACCCACAGGTTGAGAACCGCTGATATAGGAGCTGGCAAAGGGAAGCTCAACACAGCAAACTCTGTCTGGGGGGTCTGCCTGCGGCCTCACCCAGGGAGATAGATGCCTGGGAAGTAAATTCTGCAAAGGACAAAGCATTTCCTCCCCAGACATATCTTCATCTCTTCAAAGAGAAAAAAATACTAGAGAGAAAAAGAGGGAAAAGCTAAAGAAAGGAGGGGTATACCCAATGGCAATGCCCAAAATAATGGCCTTGGAAGTGAAGGAGGGAGCTGGGATAAAGCACTCTGTAAATGCAGTGCTTCGTGCTGGAGTGGACTTGCCAACTAATGGAAAACGCGTGGAGTCTAATGCGTTAGTGATCTTTAGACTACACCATTTTCCTGAGCTACATGAGTGCCCCATAGGAATTTTCTTTTTTATTTCCTTTTTTCTCTCCCTTTTTTAGCATGTGAACCCAAGATCTCTATTCAGAACGGAGAGTTTGGGAACATTGTATTGTTGACTTGTTTCTTTCTCTGGAGGATTTGCCTGCGAGCAGCAGTGAATGGATCCCTGTGAGAACACAATGATATTTTCATCTATGACCGAACTATTCCATTTTGTTCCTGCTCCTTTTAGGGAGAGGAAAATTGTTCCTGGTTATTTTGGTCTAAAGTTTTTCAAAACTTCCATTACAAACCATAAAGCAAGTTTGAATTCTGGGAAATTCCATCCCAGTTAATAACTTTAAATGTATTTATATGGTGAGGTATGACTCTCTAAAGGTTATCTTTTTATAATCCGTTTTTAAGAAATAGATTTTATACGAACGAAACAAAACACACACCCTACTACCTTTCCTTATTTGTGGTCTAAGCAGGTGTGGAAGGAATTCCAGGGTCAGGATCAAGATGGACCTCTGAGAGCCAGGTCAAAAGATGACACTGTTACCTTGCCTCTTTTACTGCAGCACAAATCAGTCCAAAAACCCATCCCCACAACCACTGCTGCCCCACTCTCTAAACCTACACAACTACTCCTTTAAACACTGCTTCAAAGAGGGAAAGAAGTTTGGCAGTACGGAGAAATGTGAATGTGAAAAGTAGATATGAAATGATTACTAGCAATAATAATGCTTTTCCAAACCAATGGCAGTCAAATCTTTTTATGACAACCAACAGTCAGAATGACAATTTATTATTTTTCTACTTTTTATTTTATTTTATTTTTTATCAGATATTATGACTGCATTTATGTGAAATGCCCACCCCCCCACCCACCCCCTCCACCCCCACACCATAGGCATATCCCTGGAGGCATATCCATACAGAATGCAGATTAGTAACTGCCTGGAGCTAGGGCAGGAGGACAGGGAGGGGGCACTGGGAAAAGGAGGCGACTTTTATTGGGTATGAGTTTCTTTCAAAGTATTGCTAAAGACCTACAATTGGCTCCTCTCTGAGGGGGCGTGGCTAGGCCCTAGTGGGTGTGGCTGGACTCTGGGGCCTGACCAAACCAGCTAAAAGCCCAGCTGAGGCACAGCAGCCCACACTGTGGTGGCTGTTACCTGTGGAGGCATGGAGGGGTGCGCTTGCTTCTGCGGTGTGGGCTCTTCGGGGGGGATGTATGTGTCCTCATAAGTGCCAGCGCCCAGCTGAGATGGCAGCGGCCGAGGGCAAGTGGTGTCCTCAGAAGCGCCAGTGCCCAGCTGAGAAGGCAGCAGCCAATGGCAAGCCGACCCCGGCAGAAAAGCACATTGAGGGGGACGCTGCAGCGCGGTGCTGTGCGGGGAGTGGAGGAATAGCGAGCCCGATGCAGCCCCCGCATTGCTCACTGCAGGACCTGCCAGTGGAGATGTTGGTGAAGATCTTCGCCTGGGTTCCCAGCACCGACCTGCCCAGCTTGGCCCAGGCCTGCACCAAATTCCACCACATCCTGCACATCGACAGCATCTGTAGATGGCAATGCCAGGAGGAGTTTGGTGTTCGTGAAAACTTGCAGAATCTGGAGATGATGGGTATGTCTTACTGAGAAGTCTATGAGAAACTGTTCCCATACAGAAACATTTTGGGATTGTGGCAGCTAGATACTGAGCACTATAGAACACTAGTGAATGTAGTGGTGGACGGCTTATGCATTACTGGTTGGAAATACAGGCCTTCCTTTCACACCCATGTGGGTGGCCCAATACATTTCAAGCTCTCGTTCAGAATTCTCCTAACAGAGAGGAAACCAGCCATGGTGGAGTGCATGGAAGGCCGCCTCAGCAGGCCCCACAACCGCCATATGCAGATTCATAAGGACAGGTTCACCACCCAGTGCAAGAAGACAGCCCATGGAACTGATTTACCAACGTGGCTTAAGGAAGAAGGGGGGCTGGTGCTGGAGGACAGACAGCAGTATGACTGGCTGACCTACCACCGCCTCTATCTCCCGCCGAGCCACCCGGACGACCTCATCCAACCAGGCCTCTTCCAAGACTACTATGATGCCTTCGGCCTAAAGATTGCCATGCTCAGCTTCCATGGGAAGTATGCCAGGGTCACAAAGATCACGGGAGTCTCCAATGAGATGTTAGAGATCCACCTCATGCGCCGCATCCAGCTGCGAGATGGCCAGATCTTCAGCGACTTCAACCAGCTCTCCCATGTGGTCCAGGAGATTGACGAGCAGGTGATCCGGGAGCAGCAGCAGCAGCAGCAAGAAGACGGGACTGAGGAAAGCAAGGGCCATGGCTGGCAGAGCACTGCCCAGCCCAGCGTCGGGGAGTCCAGCACTACAGCTTCGGAGGAGCAGCCTGTCCCATTTGTTCTGCCTGTGGGTATGCACTCAAAACTCCACAACTACCCCCGAACTTGAAGGATGTGTTTCTATGGCTTGGCCTACCCCAGTCGCATCCCTGGAGTCTTCATCCTGTTCGATGAGAAGCCCTTGGGGTTCATTATTGTGGAGGTGAAATACTTCATCCTGTTGGGCAGAGTCCAGAACACCTTCCAGAATGCTGAGGCACCATCCCCGCAGACTTTCCTAGAGATGCTCAAGAACATTCAGTCCATGCCCTAACCGGTTTGGCTCAGTGGATAGAGCTTCAGCCTGCATCCCGAAGGGTCCCAGTTTAGATTCTGATCAGGGGCATGTACCTTGGTTGGGGGCACATCCCCAGTGGGGGGTGTGCAGGAGGCAGCTGATCGATGTTTCTCTCTCATCGATGTTTCTAACTCTCTATATCTCTCCCTTCCTCTCTGTAAAAATTTAATGAAATATGTTTTTTAAAAAATCACTGTATAAAAATAAATTAAAAAAACATTCATGAGAATGTTTAAAAATTGGACCCCTAGTTCGTTGCTGGTGGAAATGTGAAATAGCAGGGCCACGTTCGAAAATGAGAGTCACCAGATGGCCCAGAAGTTCCACATCTAGATACATACCCACAAGAAATGGAAACGTGTTCACTCAAAAAACTTGCACACAATGTTCACAGCAGCCTTATTCATAAGAGCCACAAACCAGAAGCAATACTCATCAACAGACGAATGGGTAAACAAAAGGTGGTATAGCCATACACTAGAATATAGCATACAGAAAACTTTAAAATGTTATGCCAACTGAAAGAAGCCAGTCACAAAAGAGCAGATATTATGACTTCCTTTATGTGAACTGTCCTCGTCCCCCCCACAACCCCCTCACCCCACCCCCACCCCCCCACAATAGGCATATCCCTGATGGCATATCCATACAGAAATCAGATTAGTGACAGCCTGGGCCTAAGGCGGGAGGACAGGGAGGGGGCACTGGGAAAGGGAGGTGACTGTTAATGGGTATGGGTTTAAAGTCCTACAATTGGCTCCTCTCTGAGGGGGCATTGCTAGGCCCTGGGAGGCGTGGCTGGACTCTGGGGCCGGACCAAGCCAGCTTAAAGCCTGGCTGAGGCATAGTGGCCCATGGTGTGGTGGCTGTTACGCGTGGAGGCATGGAGGGGTGTGCTTGCCTCTGCAGCGTGGGCTCTTCGCCGGGATGTCGGTGTCGTCAGGAGTGCCAGGGCCCAGCTGAGAAGGCAGTGGCTGATGGCAAGCCGATCCAGGCAGAAAAGCACGTCGAGGGGGACAAGGCAGCGCTGTGCTGTGCAGGGAGTGGAGGAATAGCGAGCCCCATGGTGCCCCCGCCGCTCCCGCACTGCTCGCTGCAGGAGATGCTGGTGGAGATCTTCGCCTGGGTTCCTGGCACCGACCTGCTCAGCCTGGCCCAGGCCTGCACCAAATTCTGCCACATCCTGCACATCGACAGCATCTGGAGATGGCGCTGCCGGGAGGAGTTTGGCGTTTGTGAAAACTTGCAGAACCTGGAGATGATGGGTATGTCTTATTGAGAAGTCTATGCGAAGCTGTTCCCATACAGAAACATTTTGGGATTGTGGCAGCTAGATACTGAGGGCTATAGAACACTGCTGAATGTCGTGGTGGACGGTTTATGCATTACTGGTTAGACCTACGGGCTTTCCCTTAACACCCATGTGGATGGCCCACTGCAATTCAAGCCCTCGTTCAGAATTTGCCTGACGGAGAGGAAACCAGCCAAGGTGGAGTGCATGGAAGGCCGCCACAGCAGGCCCCACAGCCGCCACATGCAGATTCAGAAGGACAGGCTCACCCTGCGGTGCAACAATAGAGAGCACCAAAAGGTTTTAACAGCGAGACTTAGGGGAGAATGGTGGCTGGTGCTGACGCAGGAGGACAGATATCAGTATGACTGCCTGATCTACCAACGCTTCTACCTCCCGCCAAGTCACCCGGGCGACCTCATCCAGCCAGGCCCCTTCCAAGGCAACTACAATGTCTTCGGCCTAAAGATTGCCATGCTCAGCTTCCATGGGAAGTATGCCAGGGTCACGAAGATCACGGGAATCTCCAAGGAGATGTGAGAGATCCACCTCATGCGCCGCATCCAGCTGAGAGATGGTGAGATCTTCCGCAACTTCAACGAGCTCTCCCGGGTGGTCCAGGAGATTGACCTGCAGGTGATCCCGGAGCAGCAGCAGCAGCAGCAGCAGCAGCAAGAAGACGCGACTGAGGAAAGAGAGGGCCATGGCTGGCAGAGCCCTGCCCAGCCCAGCGTCGGAGAGTCCAGGGCTGCAGCTTTGGAGGAGCAGCCTGTCCCATTTGTTCTGCCTGTGGGCATGGGCTCACGACTCCACAACTACCCCCGAGCCTGCAGGATGTCTTTCTATGGTTTCCTACCCCAGACGCTACCCTGGAGTCTTCATCCTGTTCGATGAGAACCACTTCGAGTTCGTCTGGAGGTGAAATACTTCATCCTGTTCGACAGAGTCCAGAACACCTTCCAGAATGTGGAGGCACCATCCCCGAAGGCCTTCCTGGAGATGCTCAAGGACATTCATTCCTGAACCCCTGGGAGGAGCAGCTTGCAGATTTGACTTTCTGACCAGGTTACCCACCTTGGTTTGTTTTTTTAATCCTCACCTGAGGATATTTTCCCATTGATGTCTAGAGAGAGAGGGAAAGACAGAAATATCGATGAGAGAGAAACACATCAGTTGGTTGCCTCCTGCCATAGGTCGGACCAGGGCCAGGTTGGGTAGGAGCCAGCAACTGAGGTAGAAATAAACCTTAGACCAGTGGTCTCAATCTTCCTAATGGTGTGACCCTTTAATACAGTTCCCCATGTTGTAGTGACCCCCAATTTCATTGTTACAAATTGAACATAATTAAATCATAGTGATTAATCATAAAAACAATATGTAATTATATATGTGTTTTCCGATGGTCTTAGGCGACCCCTGTGAAAGGGTCATTTGACCCGCAAAGGGGTGGTGACCCACAGGTTGAGAACCGCTGCCATAGACCTTTCCATCTGCAGGTCCAGGTTCTATCCACTGAGTCAAACCAGCTAGGGCTGAGCAGGTATTTTTTTTTAATATATATATATAATTTTTTAAATTAAATTTTTATTGTTCAGATTATTACATTTTTTCCTCTTTTTCACCTATAGCTCCCCTCCACTCAGTTCCCACCCCATCCTCTGCCCTTACGCCCCTCACCCCCACTGTTCTCATCCATAGGTGTACGATTTTTTCCCAGTCTCTTCCTGCACCCCCACACCCCTTTCCCCCACCCTGAGAATAGTCAGTCCACTCCCTTTTTATGCCCCTGATTCTATTATAATCACCAGTTTATTCTGTTCATCAAATTATTTATTCATTTGATTTTTAGATTCACTTGTTGATAGATATATATTTGTTGTTCATAATTTGTATCTTTACCTTTTTCTTCTTCTTCCTCTTCTTAAAGGATACCTTTCAGCATTTCATATAATACTGGTTTGGTGGTGATGAACTCCTTTAGCTTTTTCTTATCTGTGAAGCTCTTTATCTGACCTTTGATTCTGAATGATAGCTTTGCTGGGTAAAGTAATCTTGGTTGTAGGTTCTTGGTATTCATCACTTTGAATATTTCTTGCCATTCTCTTCTGGCCTGCATGGTTTCTGTTGAGAAATCAGCTGACAGTTGTATGGGTACTCCCTTGTAGGTAACTGAGTTTCTTTCTCTTGCTGCTTTTAAGATTCTCTCTTTGTCTTTTGCTCTTGGCATTTTAATTATGATGTGTCTTGGTGTGGTCCTCTTTGGGTTCCTTTTGTTTGGGGTTCTCTGAGCTTCCTGGACTTGTAAGTCTATTTCTTTCACCAGGTAAAGGAATTTTTCTGTCATTATCTCTTCAAATAGGTTTTGAATATCTTGCTCTCTCTCTTCTGGCACCCCCATAATTCAGATGTTGATACACTTGAAGTTGTCCCAGAGGCTCCTTACACTATCTTCGTATTTTTGGATTCTTTTTGTTTTCGTTTTTCCGGTTGGGTGTTTTTTGCTTCTTCATATTTCAAATCTTTGACTTGATTCTTGTGATCCTCTATTCTGCTGTTGGATCTCTGTGTAATATTCTTTATTTCAGTCAGTGTATGCTTCATTTCTAGTTGGTTCTTTTTCATATCCTCGAGAGTCTTACTAGATATATTGGCGGTTTCTAGAAAATTCTTGAAAAACTTTAAAGTGTGGTTTTGAACTCTATATCCAGCAGTTTGCTTTCCTCCATTTCTGTCATTTGTGACCTGTTTGTTTCTCTCCGCATTTTGGCTGGTTCCCTGTGTTCATAGGGTGGCTTTCTGTGCTAGGTGTCCTATAGGGCCCAGTGGCTCAGCCTCCCCAATTACCTGAGGTGGACACCCTTGGTGCACCCCTTTGTGGGCTGTTTGCACAGTCTTATTGTAGTTAAGCCTTGATTGTTGTAGGTATTTCCGGAAGCCGGTCCATCCTTGCTGCTTGACACAGTTGCTGCAGGGAAGAAACATCTGCACAGCATATGTTTCAATGGACCTGGCGTATATGGCATACTGTTCTTAATATCTTTGCTCCCCTTCTTAGTGGTATGTGTTTTAACCAAGGTCACCTCTCCGAGAAAGGTTGTTTCCCCAGGTGGGGATTTTTCCCTGGAGTTAGGGATCAACAGGACTAAGGAAGGTAATAAATCAGTAAAATCCCTTAACTAAGTGCCAGGCAGGTAGTTAATCACTTTAACTATAAACAATCACACTTAAGCTACATAAACTTTACTTAGGATAATCTCCTTCAGTTACTTCCTTGTAGCTTAACAGAGCAATAGAGTAGTGATCTTGGAATGGAGATAACAAACGCCCTGACCTTTGGAATAGAATGGATAGGATTAAAATCAAATGGTATAAATACAGATGTAACAGAAGAATCAAAACACAACCTGGCTAGAGAACCTGGCTAGGCTGCTGATCACCTGAATGCTGTCTCCATGTCATTCATTCTTCGCTGACTCCGTCCACACTTTTGGGAACCCCTGGACCTGTTGGGGCTGGACCCCAACAAGGTATCACTGGGAGGAATTGACCTTCAGGCCAATTGGCTGTGAGAATCAGCTGTGTCTGTGGTAGGAGAACTTTTGTGCTGGAGACTTATGGGACAAGACTTCCTTCAGTGGGGCTTTGGTGCTCACTGAGTCTGTCTCCTGAGTGTCCCATATGGATC